TTACAATGATTATGCAAGGCTAGAAATGGTTGTAATTGTTATGTAAAAAAATTGTAAGTTAATCAATTAGCTTGATTTTTAGCAAGTGGTTTGTTGAAAGTGTCCATTTTACCCTTTTTTTTTACTTGGAAATTTGCTTTAGTCTTTGTATCCACTTTCATTAGTGGGGTTGGTGGGAGGGCCTGTTCACAACATATGAAATGCACACATATGTTGGTGCAAGGATGCTTGAGACGTACTTTGCATATATGTATTGCATTAGTAGAGTGCCTATGTGCAAATGAAGCTCATGGATGAGCATTTTTTGCACCATTGAGCACTTGGCTAGAAGGACAGTAGCCCGTACGGATGAGGGGCATCTTTGGTAATTTATGGCGGTAGGAATTGGTACTAGTAGGGGTGGCAATCAAGTCAGATTGACTTGCCGACCTAGTTCGGGTTCAGTTCCATGTTTTGGATCTGGTGGTTTGAGTCCAGATCCAAATGACTTGGACCCACCTCAAGTCGGGTTTGGTTCTGGGTCGGGCATGGACCTTGTTGGGTAGGGTCGAGATTGGGGCTGACCCGGTTGGGCATAATAAAATGTGCAAATATATGTTTTAAAAATATATAAAATAACATTTAATTTTTTAAATTTCTAAGTGGGTCTGATGCGGGTCCAAATGACTTGGACCTGAACTGGATCTGGGTGAAACCTAAATGGTTCGGGTTTGGGTTGGTGTTGACAAAGACCTGACCCGACCCCTTGCCAACCCTACCTACTGGAGATCAATCTTTTTTATCGCGTTTCTGAGTGATAATATTTTACAATTTGGGTTCCCATTCAATCAGAGAATAGAAAGAAGGAAGAAAATCACGTAAAAAGGACATAATTTAAGCTCAACTTTCCAAACCGGATGATCAATAGAACCAACAAAATTGGCGATCAAACTTGTTCAATTGGTCAAATGTTGGTTTTGACTGATTCTACGCAAATCCTAGTTTACTACTTGCATTGTCTAGACAAGGTTTCAATTGTTGGCTCTACTGGTCGGATTGCCGGTTCGGTTTTAATAACTTTGGTTAGTATTGTGAAAATTCGAAATCGACGAACTTAAGTGTAAGCCTAATTGCCATATTACTATGAAAAAAATGTATATAAGGTTGCAACCTTATAATGTAGAATTAAAGATGCACCTCAAAAATCCATTGGGAAATGTTGTTTTAATATTGAAAAACCCTCTAATTGATCACCTCGACATCGAGATGTATGAATATGAAAAAGAAATATTTGAGTCCAATAGTATTGCATCTTGCAACACATTATTTAGACCGTCCATTTACAAGATTTTCATATGTTTATAGATCTATTTGATTTTAGCCATTTTTAGAGTTTAAATTTTTATAATGAAATATGGAAATAGATTTTCAGATAATCTTAAAAAAAATTAACACCAAAATTATATGTTATGATAAAATTTGGAGGTGCACCTTAATTGGATTGTTTAAAGTTGTAACCTTATAGAAACTACACCATATTACTATTAAGGGTATAATAGTAAAAATAATGACTATAATATAAAAAAATAAAAAGTTTATATAAAGTTGCAACCTTAAACTGTAGAATTAAAGATGCACCTTAAAAATCCATCATAAAAGGTTCTTTGGATGTTGGAAAACCCTCTAATTGATCATTTTAACCACGATATGTATGAATATGAAAAAAAAACAGGACATCGAGTATGCGAAATAGTGTAACTTGCAATATTTTATCTGAAGCGTCTATTTTCAAGATTTTCATGTGTTTATAGATCTACTTTATTTCAATCATTTATAGAATTTAAAATATTATAATTGGAGATGAAATTAGATTCTCAAACCATCCTAAGAATATTTTATATCAAAATTACATTTATCCCTAGCCCGACGCCTCAAAAAACATCTTCTGTACCGAGAGCTTGCTAATTAATTCAAGATGTCTCGATTTGTTAATGCTTTAGTGAAGGTACGCAGATCTTAGATATATCCCTACATACTTCTCTCTGCATGCGATGTAGTGGTAACAATATGATGAAGTGAAGGAACAAAGATCTTAGAGATATCTTTAGATGTTTAGATTTTTTTTGGGTAATTCAACGGGAAAGACATATTCTTATTCCGTTTTTCAAGTACATTAGGAGTTAGCTGTTGAAGGTATTAGTGAGGTGATGTTAGTGGTGCGAATGGAAACTACAATGTGGGGACTAGGATGTGTGGGGCTACCACCATGACCCCAACTCCTTCCCAAGGAGTGGTAAGTCAATGGGGATTTGGGCCCCTACTTTTTGATTATAATGGAGTTAGAGTCCTCACCATGGGGCTTAAGAATACTATAACCAAGCCGCATGTCATTATCAAGTATAAGTGATAAGTCAGTGGGGATTTGGGCTCCTACCCTTGGTGAGAATGGAGTTAGAGACTAAAAGTGATAAGTCATTGGGAATATGGGCCCTTACCGTTTGATGAGAATGGAGTCAGAGACATGTTTTGTGCAAACATGGAGAATAAGATTCTTTGCTAGCCACACTGCACTTTGATTATCACAACACGCATAGCAATTATGAAACACCAATCGAGTAAGAAGCATTTAGAACCAAGTAATTTATGCCACGATACTACTCTTTGCCATGTATCCCAAATTTTTACTATTTTGGTTATGGTGTTTACTCCTTATTGAACCGTGAAATTAAGACAAAAGTCCATTTTCAAATAGGATAATTAGGACAAACTGCCCGACCAACATCATAGTGTTCGGTAAAATTAAAATTGCTTGAGGAGTATTTGACGAAAACATCATCTGGTTCTTTTTAACTATCTCAAATATTCTTTTTGTACCTTCTCTTTTTAAAGATCAATCTCCTTTTTGGAGATCCCTTTTTATGACCATTAACACGTGATCCAAATGGGGTAATTATTATGCCTTCATTGACTCCTTTATATAAAGAGTACTGGGGTTTTTTTCTTGCTACCTAAGAAATCCCTTATGTTTTTTTACCATATAATACGTTTTATCTTTTGAAAAAAATATAGATATGGTGATGTGACTATCATGGAAACTAACAATCTCCACCTTATAACAAAATTACCAAAATTGCCTCCCGACCTTCATTAAATAGATTTTTTGATTTCTTCTCTCTTGCCTCTATTATGAAATTTCTACAAATACTTTGCTTTTATGTTTCTCCACCTTAAACCTCGTATTATATAACTTTGTCGTCCTTCTTATTCTTTACAAAAAAATTATGCCTTAGCCTTGTATATAATTTGTGTTTTGATACCGATTGTAAGGTCTTGGAGGGAACTCCTTGCTTGAGGAATTAGGAATCCCAAACACTGGGTTCCGACCTACGAACGTATACATAGTTGGCTAGAAGCGAAATAGGTGAATACAACAACAATAGAAGTGTGAGTAATAAAATAAACACAAGAAACACATTACAACCACATAAAATTATCTTGGTTCACCCTAAGGGTTATGTCCTCGACTCTGACATATAGAAATCCATTATCACAAGGAAGATTATAGTCTTGGGTTATCTCTAAATATCGGTAAGAATCTCACAGATCTGCTCTTTTAAACCTGTTCTCTCGATAAAGTAACACTCTCCCGATCAAGTAACAATGTTGATTAATCTTATTCTTTCACCGCATCACCACTATTGGAAAGACAACTTTCACGGCACTTGAGGGGCTTTCTCTATCTAGAAGTAGAAGTTTAATGAACCCAAACCCATAAGAATGCCACTTCTCTCTAGGATATCATCTCTCTCTCTCTATCACTCACTCAGACCAATCTCTTTCTTGGAGATCCTTTCTAATGACTGTCAAAAAGGTAACCCAAAGAGGTGAGAATTATGTCTATCTTGATTTCTTTATTAAAAAATTACTAGGGTTGTTTTCTTATTTTTCAAAAACTCATTTTTTTTCTTACCATAATACCTTTAATCATTTTAAGAAAATATAGGCGTGGTGATTTGGCTTCTAAGTTAGTCCTCAGTCTCACGATGCATCTATATCCTTTGTCTTACAATGATTATGCTACATGGAGTAAAGAATTATAAATAACACATAAATACCGATATATATATATATATATATATAGAGCCTATTTGAATAATAATTAGTTTTATCTTAAATAATTATCTTGTATAAAATTAACATGCTTGATAATATTATTTCATTAGTTATTTGGTATGTACCTGCATAATATTATTTAATTAATTGACTTTTGTTACAATTTCCATCTAATTCTAGTCAATATAGGCAAAAAAAATGCGATTTTCAACAAATTCCTTTGAACTAAGGAAACACAAGCCCTTGAAAGATAAAGTTATTTATAAAATTGTACATAACTTAATCCCAGATAACAAATAACTTTATTAAAATAGTGAATTATCAATGAGAACAAGTACATTCAAACACGGAAAGAGTTTATATAGAGCCGATGCTATAAACAATTAAATTAGTGCCTACATAAAAAATTTAACTAGAAGAGGTTGTTTTGATGCCCAAATATCCTCAAATTGATAATCTCGACATCAAGATACATGTACATGAGAAAAATAGATTTCAAATTTTGAAAATAGTACATCTTAAAAGGCATTTTTTGTAACACCAATTTTCAAAATTTTAAAGTCTTTCATAAATCTGCTCGATCTATATTATTTTTGAAGCTTTAAATTTTATAATCAAAGATAAAAATTTAGTTTAATAATATTACTAAGGTTTTCAGTATTAAAACCACATTTCTCAACACTATTTGAAAGTGCGTTTTATTTTGATTGTTTAGAACCTCGGCTCTAACTGGACACTTCAAACACCCCCTTCTCTTTTTTTGTCACTCTTTCTAGCAAATGCATGACTGAGTATCTTTTGGTAACTATGACTTATTTGATCAACTCATTCTCGAAAAAAAAACATCTACCGTCCAATTCCATACGCAACATCTTGGCCGTGCAAAGGATGATTGTCCCGACCTAAAAACCCGTTATAAAATGACCACGGCCTTCTGAACCCTAATGAAGCGACTCCTCTCGCGGTTGGCGCTTAGAGACTGCTATCAAAGTTTGAGCACTGTGTGAGATAGAGAGGTATTTCCCTTCCATTCGTCTGAATTTGGCTGCGTTTTCCAGTGAACTTCTCTATCTGGATCTGTTTTCTCATTCGAAAATCTCTCTATTTTCTCTCTCTCGATCTGTTTTCTCCCTCAAAAATCTCAATTTTTTCACTGAAATGATCTGTTATGAACCCAACATCTATATCTCGTTATCTTTATTACGGATGACTGCTCAGCATAAACCCTAGATCATAGATGATCTATGATACTATGATCTAAGTAGTCTTTCTTTCTCTGGATTGGTGATGGGTTTTGTTGGAAGTTTGTGATCAATATAGCTGCAAAATGCATCTCACTTTTAAACTTTCATGAAATTGAGAATGTAATTTTTTTTCTTCAACTGGATGGATATGGTGTTCTGTTCTATTTCCTTTTTTTTTCTGAGAGATTGCGAAGCTTTTTGCTAAGTATCATTGTTATTATGAAATTGATGCTTTCAGTTTCATTGCATTTCAATTTTCCCATATATCTGGCTCATTGTTTGATTTGTAATGAAGATGAGGCACCAATGAAAATATGGCGGTGTTATTTCTTACAACATTATTAGTAGCTCCTAGTTATCTTGATGTTTTGATAGTGCTCGCATTATAATGAATTGTTATATTACGTATAGTGTATATTTATGCGTAGTCTATACTATATGATGTTAACTTGAGAAAATGGAAACAGTTTGTTTTTGCACTCTTCGATTGAATGAAAGGAACGTGGTTGTAGAAGAAATTTGGGTGAAATATTTCTTGTCTGGCTGTGCTGAAAATTTTGTCTAGTTTAATTGTCTGGATTCATAGTTATACTGTGTGGAACGTTCTTTTGTGATAGCCTCTCTATGATGAACGTTCTCTTTTACTCTTAGTACTTTTCATTGATTTATTTGATAGATAGAATGAAATACCTCAATCATGAAGTTCAAACTTAAAATACATAGATAAGTATTCTAGGTCAGCATGTGTCATTGGAAAAAAGCCAATACCAATGGCTTCTGAAATTGGTTTATTGCACTTTATGTAATGTCTTTTTCTTGGAAATTATCTCTCAGTTACTATGGCACTTGGGATTTGTTTTGTTGGATCTGTCTTCAGTGTTTCATTTTGGAAAGAGGCTTAATTATTTCGAAAATTTGGTCAATCTGGTGGAACTTTGTTTTGGAAAGGTATACAATAAGACCATTGACGTTTGGTACAAGGAGGTCACAATCTTGTTGGACTGTTAATTTGAAATTGGGTTGCTGCGGGTGTTTTATTGTCTGGGTTCAAAGTTCAAAAGAAATTTCTGAAACTTTGTGACAAGCTGTCGAGTTTACATCTAATGGCCAAGAGCAATTTTGACCTCCTTGTTCCAAAGTTAAATGTTCGTATAGTATAAAATTTTATTTTGTACTACCTTCGTTGGTATAAATAGGGTAGGCAACGGAATCTAGAGAATATTTTAAGATTTTTGAAATTAACAAACTGATGTCCATTGACCATGTTTTAAGGAACTCTAAAACTAGAGATAAATGAAATAAATTTTAAATCATAGCCCTTCATCAATCCCTGCGTCACTGTTGCCATGCTGTTTCCTTGTGAGGCTGTGGTTTTTGTAGCAGGTTTATGAAGTTCATAACCAATTGAGTGTGGCTGATTTGGAGAGATAATTGTTTATACCACGGGTGACAAGTCTTTCTTTTGCTCGTGTATTTTTGACAGTGATATCTTTTCAGCTCGTGGTGATCTGTGGGCTTGATGATAACTGTGGGTTCTCCTTTGCCTTTTGGGGTTTATGTTACTTATTGAGGTTGAAGCACACTCAACGGGTTGCATTAACTTATGACCTTGGATGGGAAGTTCTGAGCTGAAGATTTTTCTTTTTCTTTTTATGAGCTGAAGACTTATGCTGTTTGGACTGATGGGCTGGAAAAAGCTAGTGGATGCTTTGACTAGTGACTTTTCAGGCTCTTGTATATTCATAGCAGCTAGTGTGCAACTTTGAAGTCCAAGCACCCTAGAGTAAATCATGCATTTTAGTTCTCAATTTAATGTTTGGACTTTGGAGGATGGCTCAAGACATTTTCATATGCATTATTTTATCATGCACATAAGACACGACTCTTTTGGGTGTGTTCACCAAAAGAATGTGTGATGAACTTATGAATGCTTTGTTATTTACAAGCTGCTATGCTTGTAAGTGTTTTGTACCTGGAATAGTGGCTATCATGGTCCATCATCCGTACCTGCAAAAAGTTGCTATGGTTTGTTGGATTAAATTAACAGGGATCACATGCATTTTGGATGCTTAAATAAGGATGACTGTAAATCTGTTTAAGCTTAGTCAATATGATCTTATAGGAACTTGTCAGGGTTATCTAGGAGAAGTTGGCATTGCTGAACTCTTCCATTTTGGGTACGAGTTAGTGCTGGAGTATTCTTACCGGCTGACAGTGATAAGTTGGAATTGGAAGCAGTCTTGGCATGTTTTGCTTGGAGCCCATGTAGGTCTTGAGTGCTGGAGTTAATGCTTAGGGTTCACATTCATTCCTTAATTATGAAGTTTGGATGATTTAATCGTCGTAAATATTTGACTTGTCCAATTTTGATTGATCATTCATTCAGTGTAGTGATGTAGCCATGGGACCTTTGTCCATATTCCATAGACTGTATATTTGCGTTTACTTAGCTGATGCCTTCTAAAAGCAATGAACATTCAACTTGTGTCATGCTTCATGAATAGTCTTTTGTTTTTTGACAAATGCGAAAGAGAAGTTTTTATACTATGTAAGAACACAAGGTTTCACTCATGATTCTTGTCTGCTGTGAGTCAAGGTATTTTAGACCATGCCCTGTATAGTCTCTTGCTATCTTGCCTTACAGTTGGGCTGTGTTGATGTTGGGATTCCTTAATGTAATTTTTGTAGCTGTAATATTATTTTACTCATTTCATTTGTAAAATAAAAAAAAACATTATTCTACTCAATTACCAGCTAAACGCTCAAAGTTGGAATATATAGTGCCAAACTGAGATCTTTTGCTTCAAATCCCTCTTTTCTCTTGGAAAAAAACATTAGTGTTTACTGTTTTACTTGTCTCGATATTATCGGATGTACCTCTAAATCAAATAAGTTTTTTTATTAATTTGCAAATATACAAGTAGTAATAGATTTTCTGATACGAATTTTTGATGCAATGCAGTTGATCACCAGGTAAGGTACCATGGTGAGGATTAGTGTATTAAATGATGCTCTAAAGAGCATGTATAACGCAGAGAAACGAGGCAAGAGGCAGGTTCTCATCAGGCCATCGTCAAAGGTTATTGTAAAGTTTCTTCTAGTGATGCAAAAGCATGGTAGGGTTTCGATATTCCCATTTCTACTGTCTATCACTTTGCCAGTGGAACTTGTGAATTGAGATAGTGTTTTGTTATGCAGGTTACATTGGAGAGTTTGAGATTGTTGACGACCACAGAGCTCATAAAATTGTTGTTGAGTTGAATGGGAGGCTAAACAAATGCGGAGTCATTAGCCCTCGATTTGATGTTGGAGTGAAGGAGATTGAACCCTGGACTGCACGCTTACTTCCTTCTAGACAGGTAATGATTTCCTTGCTGATTATTGTGGATCACTTGTAAAGAATTTGTTTGAATGTGTGTGTGTGTGTTTCAATTATTTGAATTAATAAGTTCCATTCCTACATGATCAGCTTGTGATCAAAGTTACTGATCCAAAAGCGGTACCAGGATCCAATATTTTTACTTTCAGATTTTTATGTGCATGAGCTATTAAACCAGAACCCAGTATTTGCATTTATCATGCGAAATTTGCTGTTTTTGGCGGCAAACATTTGAGGTGCACCTCAATCACCTATTGGAAAAGATTGTTCCAACATTAGAAAAGCCTTCAATTGGTCCTCTCAACCTTGAAATGTATGGAGAATTAAAAAAATGGACTTTTAAGGTACAAAAATTGATAGATGCGAAAAAATTATCTATCAAACAAAAATAAGAAAAATTTGTGCATCTTGCAACATATTATGTTGATTGCCCATTTTCGAGATTTTCAAGTATTTAGATAGCTGTTCGATCTGCACTATTTTTGGAGCTTTAAATTTCATATTAAGGGGCAAAAATAAGTTTTCAGACTAAGCCTTTGTCTTTCAGCACAGTTTGAAGGTGTTGTGCCTCAATAAGGTAGATATGCCTAGTACATACCACACCAATGTATAAAACTGAATGTTCATTTCTATTTGGACTGCATACATCCCTGTGACCTTTTTTTTTGTTAAAAGCAAGCCACAGAAAAACCAACAACTTTTATGTGCCATTTTTTTTCCAGATGGTTACATGACAAGTACTCTCTTCTATTATCAGCCCTGTGCCATGCCTGGTACCTGTATCCTAGGGAGATCCCAGTAAAGGAACTCTGTATTCTAAGTTTGTATTAAATTTTTCGATTGGTATGTGGTGTTTGTTTCTGAAGGAAACCTCAGATATTTTAGAAATTGTGTGGCTTTTTGGGATAAGATGATATATTTTCAAATGATGGTCTAGCAACTTGGATGCCTGGGGGAAAGCCTATGAGGCCTTCATCATTAATGATAATAAAATATTTTTATTGTTCTTTGTTGATGGAGATAGAGCTTTCAATACACGCAATAGGCAATTTTCTAATGAGGGCTTCTTTAGTTATGGAAAAGTATTTCCTCTTGGCAATATATACAATGAGACCATTTACTTTTGATGTAAGGCGGTCACAAACATCATTGACAGGTGGATTTGAAATCGAGTGGTTGAGGATGTATCATTGTTTTAAAGCCCAAAATAATTTTTTTCGAATATTGTGACACTTTTATCTATTCGATTTCACATCCAGTTATTAAAAATGATTGTGACGTCCTTATACCAGGAATAAATGGTCTCATAGTATACAAACCCTTTCCTCCTTCTTGATGTGATGCTGTATTAGCATATCTTTGTTAATTGCGATCTCCTTTCTATCTTGTAATGAGCTTACTACATAAACTTACAGCAACTGATGGAATTGAATACTTAAAAAGTAGTGGTTCAATTACTTATACCTCTATCTCATTTCTTGTTTAAACCTTAATGTAAATTTATTTCATTTATTTTATTAATTTTGATTCCATTTTGAAATCGGCTTTTAACTCACTGCAAGTATGTGCATGTGCAGTTTGGTTACATTGTTTTGACAACTTCTGCTGGCATCATGGACCATGAGGAAGCCAGAAGAAAGAATGTTGGAGGCAAGGTTTTGGGTTTCTTCTACTGAAGTACTTCCTAGTTTATTTTGTATGGATTTTTTGCCTATGCTTATTTCTTCACCATCAAACAGTTTCATTTTTCATTTTTGACAATGTATGGGCTAGGAACCCAGGTTCATCTTATTGCACACATACCTTGAGCCTTTGTTTGGGTTACTATTTGGACTTGATGAAGCAGTTTTGTTTTGAGAAGTTTTTGTTGATGCTGAGTGTTTAATTGGATTTGCTTTGGGATCCGTTCAAAAGATAGCATGTTGAGGCCCTATATCAAAGTTGTGTTATTTATTATGGATTGACTTTCTATGTCAAACTTGTGTTATGGTTGAAATGATATTTGCTAATTAAAGCCATGGGGGGGCTTACTTGGCGGAGCTTATTTTGCTTCTCCATGAGTCCAGGTGCTAGACCCTATGGTTGGGTATTGGAGGGCGGTCCATTTATGCTTTGGTCGGTTTGGTTTTTAGTCAATGTTATTGTTCACCCATAGATCCGTGTTGGATCATTGGATTGATGAGCCGGATGGGATTTGGATTAGCAGTAACCAATAGGTCTCTTAAGCGGCAAAAAACAGAAGCATGGATTGTCTTTGTCCATCTTTGAATTCAGTATTCTCTACAGGTGAACCATGAATAACGCATAGCGGAGCAGCATTTAAGAGCGCTCAAGATGGAGGTGGGGTTTTTGCGAGGATCTAAAAAAACATTAGATAAGCTCCAGAAAAAAACAATAATTAGACGTTCTTAAAAACAAGAGTATATAAAGGAGGTTTTAGGTAGGAATGGGGTTATTCTTGTACCATTTTAGAATTGGTTCGTCCCTCATGGATTCTTATATAGATTTGTGGTCTTGATCGAAAATCACCAGATTTTAGAACGCTGATTTTTGTGAAACAAAATATTTAAGTTGTACGCATGCAGCTTACAAGTCTCGCAATAATCTTATGTTGAGGATATAACTCGAACTTCCCAATAAGGAAGGGGGGAGGCGGGGGACGAGGGTTTTGGTTAAGTCTCTCCAAATCTTTGCTCATGTTTCCACAAAATATGGGGTGACCGAAATTGTGCATTTAAATTGTGTTCATATGGATATTTCAAGATAAATGTAATGAAATGAATAAAATGTTGAATAGTCTTATCTCAAGTGCATTTTGATAAGTTTTCTTTGATTTATTTATCCTATGTGTCATTTTAATAAAGGGAAAATATTTTCATAGATCTCAGGTTCAACTTTTATTTCAAAATCTATCTTAGTACATAGAATGTCACTCTATTTTATCTCCTAACTTTTTAAATGTATTTTATTTATTTTTTGTTAATTATTTTGATCCAAACAAATATAAAAAGACATTGTTTTTTAAACCCCTTTCTCTTATACATTGTTTTTCAAACCCCTTTCTCTTACATGATTCTCTCTCCCCCCCAATCAACATCCCAACCCCTCTCTCTCTATCTACCACCACCAACACCTCCTCCAGTTCCACCGCCCAGCCCTCCGCCACCTTGCCAAAACCTCCTCATAGTCCACCATGATGCTTAAATCGTGGGCCAAATGGACCATGCCTGTGGCCTAGCAAGAAGTGCTTATCATCGATAAAGCCATTGACCAAAACCCTAGTTGAAATGGCAACACCACCCCGCATCTATCTATCAGAATTCAAACTACACAAGGTTTCAAGTGATGAGAGAGAAAGTATTGTAGTATTTATAGAGAGAGAAAGCGGAGACTCTATGTGTTCATAAAACCAGTGGGTGTTTAAAGTGTTATTGCTTGTACTAGTAGTGGTATGTTCATGCACTTTCATGTTTTTTGGGGCTCACCTTGACCTTCAACAACATTAATAGAAGGAGTGCCCAAAAATCCTTCCCCCCTTTTAATTACTCTATTGATGAAATTTTGAACAAACTGAACCAATTCTTAACGACACGAACCAGAAAATCACCACGAATCCAGATAGACCTTGATCTAACCAAAATGAGAATCGTTTTCAAAGAACCTAGCTTGAAAGCTTCATCTGCCGAGGCTAGACACTTGCAAACTGAGTCCAAAACCCTGAAAATTACAGGGGGATTCTCTTCGTTATCGGGTTCTTCCACTTCTCCACATATCTAGCCATTGGCATCAACTTTTGAAGACATTTCAAAAAGAGACTTAAATTTTTATCTCTTTCTGTTGCAGTTAACTTTGAAGAAGCTTGCAAAGATCAGTTTCAGAGAGAGAGAGAGATTCTGTTTTTTTCGGGTGAGAAATATGCATTTTTCGATGTGGACTTTGACGGAAAAGGGAGATGGAGGTAGAAGATGGTAACCCCATTATAGGTCGAGAGTAAGAGCAAGAGAACAGCTAGAGAGAAGGTGGGTAAGAAGAAGAAGAGAGGGGTTATGAGCATGACAAGTCTAGAGAGAGAAACACGTGAGGAGAGAGATTGAAACACCTGAGGAGAGTTAGGAAAAAGGTGTTTTTTTAATATATTTGGGTTAAAAGTTGGAATAAAATAGATAAAGTTATTTGGGGGGTGAAAAAATAGGTTTTGAAATTTTGGGTTTAGAAAGAAATGAAAGTTGAAAATAGAGTCTATAAAGATATTTTCCTTTTAAAATATTAATTTTTTGCACCAAATTCTTCCGGTGTGATTCAACCAATTTTGATCCTCCGGATTTACTCTTGTAGCATATTTCCATTTAGAGAAATACCATGGAATAAAATGTTGTACTTGGTGTGATTCAATCAATTTTTATCCTCCGTATTTACTCTTGTAGGAGATTTCCATTTAGAGAAATACCGTGGAATAAAATGTTGTACTTGGCTTGAGTATAGTGTTGGATACTTGGACCTTGTATCTGTTATTAAAATCAAATTTGCTATTGAATTGGTGATGGATTTGATTCAATCTAAACAGTTTGATTAGATTTTTAAAATATTAAAGAAGATATAGGTAATAATTTAACAACGTGATTTTTTTTAAAAAAAGTTGTCCACTTTGTTTTTGCCAGAATTGGTCAAAATCTCCTAATCCGACTGGTTAAACTTGTTAAGTACTAGTTTTGATTGGTTTTGGACCAAATCCGGTTTTTAATTTGAACTAGACTGTCCAATACATTAGTCAACAGTCCGATTGGTCACAGTACCGGTCCGGACCTGTCTTGATACGTATGCTACTATCCCTATAGCCCGAACCCTCGTAGAAGATTTCAATTTAGGTAAATATCATAAATTGTCCTACTTGGCTAGAGATGGCTACTTAGGCCCAACATGAACCTACCCATGTGACATGGGTGGTGAGATTTTGCCCATGGTTAAAAAAAATGGCCGAGTCAGCTCCGATTCGGACGAGTTACTCGGGTTTGGGCATTGGCCAAACCCGAGTTGTCTTGAGTTGGGGGTTTAATTTGGGGATATTAGAAAAATTAAAAATATATTATAAAAATCCCCAAAAATAATAAGTCTATTTGGAATATATTTTTTTAATAGTTTCTATCATTTTGGAAAAGATTAGAAAGTATTTTGTCTATGAATACTTATTTTTATATTTTTTCATGTTTTTTAAATTTTTTGAAAATGCCTTTGGTCACAAATTGATTTTTAAGAATCTATTTTTGCCATGTTTTTAACCATATTCAGATATCTGCTGTTTAATTTTATTTGAAATATATTTTTTCTCCTTTTGGAAATTTTTAATTTTATTTTTTAAACATTTGTTTTGCTACCAAAGTACTCGGCACTACTCGGGCGGAGTACTTGGCTCTGACCTGGGCCGAGTAAGAGGCCCGATTAGAGCAAACACTAGAGTTTTTAACGGTTGGTGACAAGTTTTTTTGCGCTTTCTAGTAGGGCCCTTGTTTTGGAGACCGCTATTTCTATGCATTGAATGAGTAGAATGGAGAATGTCACATATCTGTGCACCCGCCATCGTCGTTTGTTGCATTTATCAAAGGGACTGTATACCGATGCTTCGTAATGGAGTATAACATTCAGGTACTCCACCCTATATCCACATTTGAGAGCTAACTCCTTGTATGAAAATAATCGTGTGGCTAAAAAATTGGCCATAAGTCATCACCTGCGCTTTGATAAATATAGATGGTGGATATTGCGTAGAGCTTCTATATCATAGTTGTGTAAGCCATGTGATATATCCATGAATATAATTTGGCTCCCACATTATTAGGTTTGTAATAGAAACAAAATTCCAAATCTCTAGTTTTTGGAAAGAACAAAGTAGTAAGTAATTCTTTTCTTTTTTTTTTAAAGAATAAAACAAGATAGGAAAGTGTATATTACATGTAACTAGATAAAAACGTGTATATTACACCATTGTGTTATCATTATATATACAATGAAAGAACCACCACAAGAATGATGTGGGGCAAAATTTTATTTTCAAAAGTCTTTTCTCTCTAAAAAATTCTTTATGGTATCAGATCCATCTATGTAAGCTGTACAACATAATCGATAGAGCAAATTCAAATGCGATCGAGGAAACAATCGCCTTTTATTTTCTTGTTCATCGTTAAAGGTTACTCTTACTCTCACCTAATTCCATCACATCTCTTACTGTGCAATCCCAATTGGACAATCTTACATTATTTTTATTTTTTATTAATTCCTCACTTTTTTTGCTGGCCAACACATAACCCTTTAAACCATTTACTCCCATCATAACCATTGCATAGGAGGCATAAAACCATTTCCTACATCTCCCACCATTCATTCCATTAATCTAACCCACATAACCAATCCAAACCCAAGTCTAGCGTATTTCACACGCACCACCCAAAACTCTCATGCCCAACCCCAAAACTCTCACGTCCAGCCCAAATTCTCTAAACCCACTCTCTCGTACATTCTCTCAACCCATCTATCATCAAATACCTATTTGCTCAATGGATAGTTCACCCTCTTCAAATAAATATCCCTATCCCTCCAACTTTAATATAGAAAATTTTGTATCTATTAAGTTGACACATAATAATTATTTATTATAAAAAACTCAAATGCTCTATCTCATTGATAGTCAATAACTTTTTGGATTCATTTTTTGATGATTGCCCTCCACCAAGTCAAAAGATTTATTCTCCTGATGATAACAGTGAAATTGAAAACCCATACTACAAATCATGGTTAAAGTCTGATTGGCTTCTTAAAGCCTGGATCACAAGAACATTATTAGAAGAGTGTCTTAGCCTTGTTGTTGAGCTCAAGACTTCTGTAGAAGTTTGGAAATATCT